CCCCGGTTTCGGTGTACGGGTACGAGTAGTGTCAGTCTTGTTTTACTGATGTCTGTGATTCGATCATACTTTTTCTGTTTTCTTGCAATAGACAATGATATAATGCGAAAAATGTGCACCTTAATTACGAGTAAAAGTACAGACATCCGGACGAAAATGTTGCTAACCAAAATCATGCTACCCGTACACATACACCGAAACCGGGGTATCTTAACCTCTCTAATGTCATCATTTTTGTACGGTTTTTTCTTGATCAGCTAGTTGAACAATCTATAAGCTTACAACGTAAAACTTGTCCTTATTAAGCATAAAATTTAAAAGAAATACCTTAAAAGAAATACATTAAATTTATATAAATGTTGTAAAATGAACAAATTTTTTTTTGGCAACTAAAATTTGTAGTTGTCTGTCAAAAAACATTTTTCAAGCATGTCCATGGCACCATGCTGTAAAAAGATTCGAAAAAATAAATAATTTTACTTAGTTTACCTAATTCTGTTGTCTTGTTGACTAGTAGAAAAGCATCGACAGCAATGCCAATGAAACTATAAAAGCTTTTTTTTATCCAGCTTTTAATAATCCGAAATTTTCACCGAATTTTCGAAATTTGGCTTTTCATTCGCTTCAAATCATACTTTCAAATATATAATTATACCAAATGACCCACCCCTTTTCCAATTTTTTCCGGAAAAATTTTTTTTCGGACACGAACCTCCCGCCCCCCACCCCGTCGACAACTTTTTTAGGTAAAAATTTTTCCGGACGAGTATGTTGCAATTGACTTTATCTTAATTTTTCACACCAAATTTCGGTACTTAGCCCAAAAAACAGGTATCTTGTTCTTTGCGCGGAAATTTTTAACACAAAAAAATGACTGTGGTCCAATCTTCTGCATATTTTTACATGGCCAACCCTTATGATTGCACTTAACTTTCGATGACCACCCCTTCAACCGTGCTCAAAAATAGTGAGCCACCCCCTATTTTTCCCAGCCCACCCCCCTTTCACTTTATGACCGGTCCCTAATGGATCTTTGGGATCATTCTGTGCCAAATCAATATTTGCGATCAATAAGATCGTTCGGAACAGACGCAACTGATCTCAAATGTACTTTGCAACTGGAATTTTATCGGAATCATTACCGGTATAACCATGAACCATCAAATTAAAAAAATAAACACGTTATTTAGCGTTTAGGTCGGTCCGTACTAAAAATATTTTCCCTCGGCCTTTGGCCGCTGCTGAGCCCTTGGAAAAAAATTTTTCAGCACGTACCTCGCAGCCGGTATAGTAGAAGCACTGTCAAGCAAGATATATATTGAATAGTTCAGGTGCCCGACACTTCACTATGACCGCTTGATTTGATAGAATGCTATTGTTGTCAAATTAAATTGGTCCTAAAGCCCGTGACCTAGCAATTAAAATCCTGTGAAAACCAACCTTTTATACTTACATGATACATCATAATCGGTTTCATGGCTATGATCATATTCACTATAAAAGCATTCGCATTGATCTCCGACATCGATGCAGTGGCTCTTGTAATCGCTCGCGAATTCATTCATGGCAATAGTAATTATGATCAAAAAGATCGAAGCAACAGACGAAATGATAACAGCAAAGATGTTGAAACACAAAGCAAATCCCATCTAGAGTGAAAGAACTAAACGTTATAAACCGATTTGAAAAATAGTTGTGAAACGCTCAAACGGTTATTAATAGAGAGGTTAAGATACCCCGGTTTCGGTGTACGGGTACGAGTAGTGTCATCTTGTTTTACTGATGTCTGTAATTCGATCATACTTTTTCTGTTTTCTTGCAATAGACAATGATATAATGCGAAAAATGTGCAACTTAATTACGAGTAAAGGTACAGACATCGATTTTTTTCATATTGCTAACCAAAATCATGCTACTCGTACCCGTACACCGAAACCGCGGGGTGATATCTTAACCTCTCTAATGTTGATAATTCATCAAGAAAACACAAAAGAATCATGAGCCGTGATACAGTATCATGCTGTTCTACATAAACTTTACTATAAATTCAATTTTCTCACCAAATATCATTATTTTAATTTATTTTAAATTGTCGAAGAACACGAATGTTCTCATAAATACGTTATTAAATAATAGTACGTGTTGTATCGGATATACGAACTGTGTTA